ATAATATTCATAAGTTATCAAATCAAGTATAGAAATATGGAGCAATGGAAAGTCCATGTAAATTACTGGTATGTAGAGGAAATGAACTTGAAGATTAAGGAAGGACACTACTGAGTTAGTCTAGTTTAGCGATAAATAAAACAACGAATCAACTTGTGTTACCAAGGAAACAGTACTGATGCATAAATCCCAATGAGTTTTTCCCAAGGCCTAAGGAAGGAAACTATTTTTAATACATAATTAACTTCAAATTTAGTGCTATACATTACTTACTATTTTCCTTTCACATAGTTGAATTCTTTTATCCCTATCTCTACAAAGCTGAAAAAACAAATGTTCTTTCTAGGATGTTAGGTTTCTTATAAAATAAGCAGTGATTCTGCTGAGAGGGCAAAACAGATTTCAGCAATAACATAATTTGAAAAGATTTTAATTTGCACTTCTGCCCTGCCTGTCACACACTCAAAATGGGATGTTCAGTATATTTGCTATTTCAGCTGCATTTTTATTTGCTCTCTCCCCCAGCTGAAGTGGAAACAGAAACAAAGAAAATAATATCATGTAAATACTTTCGTTCTGAACCTTAATTATTCCCCACTTTCAGTAGTTAATTTGATGTGGCCATTCCTTCCTTCATTCAAATTTGTTTATTCTAAATATTTGTTGAGCATTTATTATGCACTGATGTAGATGCTATCAGCATGCTGCTCGGCTTGCTGGTTGGATGTTAATTGAGGGGGTCACTCTTGTTTCTTTTCAATATTTATTTGAGAGACAGGGAACTTTCCTTCCTTGCTTACTGCCCAAGTGCCCACAATCTAGTAGGCAAGACTGAGGCAGGGAGTCAGGAGCTACATCTAAGCCTTAATGTAGGTAACTGGTACCCAATCACTAGGGCCATCACCTGCTGCTTCCCAGATCTGCTTAACAGGAAGTTGGAGTCAGATGACACCAGCATCTCTAACACCAGGCTAAATGAATGCTGGGTTACTACTGTGGACCAGAGGTTATTTAGAGACAAAACACTTCAAAGAAGTGAGAAGATACAATCTTCTCGCCTCCTCTCACTACTGATGACCTTGACTTCACTGAGAAAGCAGACATAATCAAGAGGGACCTCAAGCACCTCTCATCATTAACCCACATAGCAACATTCGCATCCAAGTTCACTAACATCCCCCAGGTGCAATGTAGCACCTGAGCCATTCCCAGGCCTTCATGCCCTCTCCAGCACATTCCAACAATTCTCCCTTCTGATTCTTGCATTATTTGCATCTTGAAGATGTTTTATTTGAAAGAAAGATTTATAGAGAGGAGAGCCAAAGAAAGGTATCTTTCATATGCTGGTTCTCTCTCCAAGTGGCCACAATGACCAGAACTGAGCCAATTTGTAGCCAGGAACCCTTGAGCTTCTTCCAGGTCTCCCTCATGGGTGGCATTGTCTCAAGGACTTGAACCACCCTCCACTGCTCTCCCAGGCCATAAGCAGGAAGCTGGATGAGAAATGGAACAGCCGGGACATGAACTGGCACCCAAACTGTATGCCAGCACTGTAATGTGGAGGATTAGTTTGTAGAGACACTGTGCTGGCCCCACCTTCTTTGCATTTTCACCTCTACTCTTCTACACAAAATCCGGCAGTGGTTTTCCCCTTTTCCTTTTTAAAGTTCTTCTGGTGCCATTTTTCAATTCCAGCTCTTGCCTTGCTCTTCCTATTGAGTACCAAGTTCTTTGGGAAGAGTTGCTTTTACTCAGTCACCGGTTTCTCTTCCTGTTATCCCACAAACCTGCAGCAGTGAGTCCTCTGCCGCCTCTTTGCCGAAACTGCTTTTAATATCCCAAGTACCATTATACCTATGAGCCCAGTGGTCAGTTCACACCTCACTAGACTCAGAGGCTGAACTAAAGCAGTACTTGATCCTCTGCCTTTGTGGCCTCACCCCTGGCTTTCTCCAACATTACCAGTCTCAGGGTTTTATCTTTCGAACACTTTTCTGTCCCACTCACTAGCCTTGGCCAATGTCATGGTTTTTGTGCCAGTGACTTCGAAACTTCCATCTCTAGCTCAGCTCTCTTTATGTGGGACTTTTCTATATTGCTCACATGTTTCAGTATCGGGGAGAAATTTTAATGTTGGCATGTCCTAAGTTGAACCAGTGATATTCCCAAACCCAATCTACTCATGTTTTTCCCCTCTTAATCTGCATCAATAGTACCCATTTACTTGCTCTGGCCATTAACCTTGGAGTCTTTCCTGATCCTTTTTCCCTCACACCCCACATTTGATTTGTCTGGAAGTTGTGTTGGTTCTTTGTTCAAAATGAACTTGCTACCTCCAGTGCAACCCTAATTTGAATCACCATGGAAGTTCATCCAGTGTCGTTGTAACAACCAGATGCCGTTCCCAATTCCTCCCTTGTCTTCCTCCAACACAATCTCTACACAGTGGCCAGAGTAGTGCCTGTAAACACGACCTCTGCTCAAATTATCTGGAGTAAAAGCACTGTGACAGCCTTAAGCCATGCACCTCCTACCTTCCCCTCTATTGCCACAGCCACATGGGCCTTTTGCCACATCCCAAACACAGCAGATACACTGAAGATTCAAGGTCTTTCTTACGTCTCCTCAATCTAGAAGCATCTTTCTCCAGACATGCATCTGGCTCACTGCTCTACTCCCCCCATGCTTCTGTCACCCTACTGAAACCCACATGGGTATTATGAGATCCACTTGGAGAGCAGACAGAGAAGGGAATGAGGCCAAAGACGAAGTCCTAGATGATGCCAACATGAAAAGATCCATCAGAGGAGATAAAATATCAAGATAGATTCAAAAGGAGCCAACAGGGAGGCTGGAGAAGAGCCAGGGGAGCAGGGATCACTGAAAGCAAATTAGTGTTACAGGTTGGGGGTGGGGCTACGCAGCCAGCTACAAATAAGTGACCATAGGCATCAGGTACTTGTCAGTGTACTGGTGGGCAGCACACAGACCGCAAGAGGCTGGAGAAGGATGGGAAGCTGTCCACTGCAGGCCCCCAGCACTCAGTCCTCACCTCTTCTACCACCCTGTGTAGATCCCTTGTCCATCTCCAGGGTCACCTTTTGGTATGCTCTCTCCACCATTTCACCATCCCTCTGTTGAGCATTTAGGCAAAAACAGACTCTGAGTACAGTAAAAATAATAATAATGATGATGATTAAAAAACCCTCTTAGTTTTTTCCTCCATCTGAACAGCTAAACATGGCTGCAGTAAACACAATAAAGTTGGCCAGTCTTTTTTAAAATTGAAGAAATCTCATGCCAAGTCTGTAGAAATACCCTGCAATCCACCTAATTTTCCTGTGGACTGGCTTGCTTTTCAAGGTGCTCCCTTCATATCTATGTTGTCATGTCTTAGGATGACTACACCTCATTCTCCAGCGCACCAAGTGCTAATTTCACTCCAGTGTCCAATAAAATGTCACCTTTGGGTGGGGGGTAGGGAGCAATCTTTACAATAACCACCCTAAGCCACTTGTTTTCCTGCTTACTCTTTGTTTTAGCACTTCTAAACACATCATTTATGTCCCCCTGTTGGGGCTCGGTGTGATGGCTAATTCAGTGGCTAATTCTTTGCCTTGCACGCACTTGGATCCCTTATGGGCTCCAGTTCATGTTCGGCTGCTGCTCTTCCTATCCAACTCCTTGCTTGTGGCCTGGAAAAGTGATAGAGAATGGCCCGGAGCCTTGGGACCCTACACCCATGTGGGAGAACCAGAGGAAGCACCTGGCTCCTGGCTTTGGATCAGTTCAGTTCCAGCTGTTGCAGCCACTTGGGAACCAGTGGATGGAAGCTCTTTCTCTTCATCTCTCCTCTGTAAATCTAATTTCCAATAAAAATAAATAAATCTTAAACACAGGCCTGGCACGGTGGCCTAGAGGTTAGTGTCCTCACCTTGAACTCGCCGGGATCCCAGTGGGCGCCGGATTCTATCCATGCAGCCTCACTTCCCATCTAGCTCCCTGCCTGTGGCCTGGAATCGAGGACAGCCCAAAGCCTTGGGACCCTGTACCCACGAGGGGAAGCCAGAAGAAGCTCCTGGCTCCTGACTTCAGATCAGCTTAGCCCCGGCTGTTGGCAGTCATTTGGGGAGTGAATCATCAGACGGAAGAGCTTCCTCTCTATCTCTCCTCCTCCTCTCTGTATATCTAACTTTACAATAAAAGTAAATCTTTAAAAAAATAAACACAACATTGGCCACTTGGGTAAATTAGACAAATGCTCAAATGGGAACAAAGTTCACGGGGTCAGTGTCAGTGTTGCAAACTAAGGCTCTATCTCTGATGCTAGCATCCCACATCGGCACTGGTTCAAGTCCAGGCTGCACCTTTTCCGATCCAGCTCCCTGCTCATGTGCCTGGCAAAGGAATGGAAGATGGCCCTAATGCTTGGAGACCCAAAGAAATACAGGGCTCCTGGCTTTGGATTAGCCCAGTTCTGCTATTGCAGCCACTGGGGGAGTGACTCTTCTGTTTGTAACTCTGCATTTCAAATAAAATAAGTAAATCTAAAACAAAGATGAAAAGATGGCATTCTTAAAAAAAAAAAAAAGGTAAAATACTATCTGGCAATATGCTGATTTGTGTAATCCTGTAGTAAAGAATTCGTTGCTGCAAATGTGAAGGAAGGATCATGTCTGTACAATAAAGGCCTTTCAGTGGAGTTTGAAAAATGGAAAAGTTAAAATAGGATTTGGGGTCGGGTTCTGTTTGGAATTTCTCTCTACAGAGACCGTAGTTGTGATCTGAGAAGTTCAACTGTCTCACCCTTTGCATGGCATTGACCAAAGATCTGTGTGCGGTACACTGAACTTCATGACACATCAAGACTTGGCAGTAAAATTTTTTTGGACAGCTAAAACATTCAAATCCCAAGGTGATTCTGAAAATAGCAGCCTGCACATTCTCATTCTAGTGTAAACAAGGAATGACATCTTCATTAGTGCCTCTTTCTCTTTCAGGAACTTCGTGAAAAACAACATTTGTTTTGTGAGTCATCACCAAGAAGAATTAGTGCCAACCCAGCTTCAAAGAGGAAAACCCCAAGAGCAGCTCCTGGGGGTATAACAGCTGCATGGCAGGGAGAGCAAAGCAGCTTTCCCAGAGACCAAACGGCTTGCACACTTTGAAACACTGACGGTTCAAGAACATGCAAGAGGTCTTTGCACCAGAACATATTTGCCACTTCCACATTTCCTCTTCCGGGGCATGGAGCTAGCTTTAGGGTCTCCATGAATTTATAAAGACAACTCTTAGCTCTCTCTTCCCCACAAGGTGGATGAGGTACAAGATCTTAAATGATCTCCTCTGAGCACAGAATCAGGTAAAATATATGTATTTTATATGTATTGTCTGATTCAATACTTCTTCAATGCCTTCTTCACAGAACAGCCTTGCTGAGACCGAGTCCTAGCAATGAGCAACCTTGGCCGTAAGCAACATATGCACAGAGACCAACTGCCCATGTTACTATTCAGACAGACAGGAGATGTGGGCACAAGCTGAGTTTTTGTCTACAGTAAGACACACCTACACCTGGGCCTTGTGTGACGAACCAGGCCACACAATGTGGAAGATATAATTGCACATATGTTCTAGATTAGGACAGGATATTAGCAACGATTCTAGTGATAATATCTAGCCACAGTTCAACGAGTACAGATTATACAGCTTACTTTGTCATGAACTATACCTGAATGCAAATTAATCTGCTTTAATTAGTTTTGCAATAAGCAGAAAAAGTAAACATTTTCACTTTTTTTTTTAATAGAAAGGACAATTTAACAATCCTGGGACCATATTTATTTAGAAATAGCTGTTAATAAAACATATGGAATCAGACCATTAAATCATCTGTCCAAACCTCTAAACAATTAGGTGTAAGTTATTACATCAAGTCAATAAAAATTCTCTTCATACAGTTTTTACGTTAACTTACAGTAATTTGTAGTTTCCTGAAATCCTTCACAGTCCTCAGGAATAACCTCTACCTCAGGTTATGGCACACGGGCTATAATTAATGCCTTCGAATGACTGCAGACATATTTCCATTATTTTCTGTGATTAAATACAGATGGCCAATTTGAATTCTCATCTGTACAATGGACTGCTCTCATCTGTACTACTCCAGTTGAATTTTAACACTTATTCAGGCATTTTACCAAAACAATTTGGACATGATAGAAAATCTACAATAAAGAATCATGAACCATTGAAGTTGTCACCTGCTAACTTAGTAATTTATTATAAGGTATGAAAGACACACCAAAAACTTATAATAATCTAACTTCAAAGATATTGTAAAAAATTTGATTAGCTTGAAGAAAGAATTCTTGGGCAAAATCCTTTTATTTAGGTTGGAAGATTCCTCCTGGCTACTGACAAATTTTCACAATTTGGAATAGAGAGTGCATGACTACTGGAAAGATGGTAAATCTGGTAAAGTAAGCAAAGACTGCTCGTGTCATCCTGGCCCTGAAACTCACCAACTTACAGGGGCGCCTGACGAGAGATCCATGATCTGATTCTGTAACATATAGTCCGTATGCAAGTTGCAGCTTGTATCTCTCTCTGTGTGCAGAGACAAAGGAGGATGTGCCCTGCAGAGGATCAAGTCAAGACACTTGGGAAGTTCTGTCCAAAATCAGTGTACAGTGAGATCTTCAACAAAATCAAGACAGTGATCAGTATCAACTTTTGCTTCTTTGCTAAGCATTACAGATTGTTTAGCAAAGCAGTTCCATGTTTTCACTTTAAACTTCAAACACTGCAGTAGCACTTGAGTTATTTCTTGGTTTAGCCATCCATTGAAAATGAACAAACAGGATGTAAATTTAGTTGGTTTCTTACTAATTACTTTACCCAGTTTTGTCTTTCATTATCCCAGTTTATAACTGAACAATTTTGTCTTCAAAATAGTTTTTATACAACACCCACCCATTCCCCAAAATCAAATCAAGCTATTTGGCTTTCAAAAATAAAAAGAGGGGCATACTTAAATTTCTATATACATATTCACAGTTTTTATTCATATTTTAAAAAACTGACAGTACTTGTGGGAAGCCAGCAGAGAATATCAGCCTTATAGATCACATGAACAACTTGCCAGGCAGTGCTCCCCCAACCCAGTCCTGGCCAGCCTGTCCTTCCTCCTTTTCCAGATAAAGCACTTCCAGTGAGCTGCTGATCCGCCCATAGGCTTCAAGTTACTTGAATACTGATAATATTACATGATCTGGGCTCAGGTCTTAGCTCTGTAATAATCCCCCCCCCCGCCACATTCCATATTTTTCTGTGAACATGCAAATCAGGAGATAACTTATCAATTGGAAAATTCCAAAATTTTTAATACCCTGCCTGTGATTTTTTTTATTTAACTTTAGTTTTTGTGCATAAGGTTTCAGTTATCCAACTAGATCTTAAATAAAAGGTAAAAATAAAAGGTCTTAGAAAACCACAATTAAATCTTGTGTAAGAATAACATAACTTAGCCTTTGCCCCTATTTTTGAAGGAGTGACAAGCAGTGCAGGGAAGAAGCAAGGAAGGAAGGAAAAAGATAAAAATAAGCATGAAATAATATGTATTACTCAGTGCAGTGCTTAAATTTCCAAGATTTTATATGATAAAATGTACTCTTTATGGAGGCTAAAAATGTTGCAATTTTTTCATAAAGGCTTAAAAATATTTTGGCAATTTAGGTTTTAGAAGATTGCTGTTGGGACACTGGCCTGGGTTAAGTTCCTACTGATAAGTGAATCTGATTCTGTTCAGCTTTATTTCCAGGTAAAATCCCTGCTGGTTATACAGTAAACTCCCAAATAGGGGCAGTGAAGCCCACCTGTGGTTGGATCCTGTATTACCATTCCAAGATTCATGGGCAAGCCAGGGAGACAGTGTTTCAAAAATGTGTTACTTACTGTAACTTTAAGAGTGGCAATCCCATATATAGAACAGCCATTTTCAGCGGCATTAAGTAAGACACAACCGGGAGACAGATATAACTGGCAAAATGGCTTTCAAGTTCAAGGTGAACCATATAACCTACTGTGGCACAGAGGCAGTTTGTAGGTACTTCCCGTAAAGAGCACAATGACACGTGACAAGGTTCTAAGGATTCCTTAGAGCACCAACCCAAGGTTAACAGGCAAGAATCTCAACCAATTCCATACAACTACAATTGAATCTTTCCAGAACAATCAAGGTACAAATGGAGTACATCCTGTCACAGCTTCTTTCTCATAACATCTAGTGAAGAGGTTTCTGGTTTTAAAACTACAATCTCTTAGCTTTGAAGAGTTATTTAACATTTTCTACCATTTTAAATTAACAACATAAGCACTGTCTTATCTACAAAGTTCTACTCCCATCTCCTAGAGTTTATATACATACTTTTATTTCTAATCTGCAAGAAAAAAATCTACTCGCTATTTGGTAACAGGGCGTTGAGACACTATACACACAAGGCATATACATATGTACACAAAATATACTTCAAAAAGAAGCCGACACACTTCAGCCAGTCTAAGCTTGCATAGATTAAAAAAAAAGAGATACAGTTTTTGTTAAGATAGAAAATGGGGAATAAAATTTATAGAATGGATATGAAGAGATCTTTTCCAAACTTTTATTTGTGCACATTCAATTGAAAAAGATAACTTTTACAGGTTCTTTGGTGCCCATATTCAGCATACAAAAATGTAAAAGACTATTCACAAATAAAACACATTAGCTCCAACTGGAAAAAATAACAACAATAAAACAATGTAAGGTAGTGCACACCGTGACAGCTCTGCTTATGAGGACATGAAAATCACTGCGAAAATAAATAGAATGTCCTTTTGTAAAAGCAGCAATGTCATGTCTTGTAAACTTCTTTTTTATATTACAGCAAGTTTTGAAAGAACATCCAAATGGACTGGAGCTTACACTGTAGCCACAAATGAATCAAAGAGTCTATTTCCTCAATTGCTGTTGGTCCAGTTTTTCTTATGTTTTGAGTCCAATGTGCAGCAGGTTTTAAAAGGTGCTCAGTTAAGATTCACTAAGTGGTGAATTATAAAATTTCTTTCCTGCTTTCAAACACAAATGGGTAAATCTGTTCCACAGCAGTAGCAACAGCCTTTACGTTGGGTCCTGCAACAAACAATGGAGCAAAGCGTGAGGAGAGTTACAAAAGGGAATACTGGGGAAAACTTGACATACTAGAATTGCAAATTAGCAAATAGTTAAAGAGTTTCAAGTTAATTGTTGAAAATGTCTACACTTGCACAATCATCTATAGTCATAAGAATGAAAAGAGTATTTTCTGACAAATCTAAAATACAAACTGATGTTTGCTTAGGAGCATCAGAACATACAAAAATTTCAAACAATCATGAAGCAGAATAACAAGCTACTACATGACGTGTGTGGAGTGGGGGAATAACGTGGCTGCAGGGAACCGCTGTCCTTTGGGTCAGGGTCATCCAGCTTTTGGTTCAACTACCACTGGGGTTCACAGGGACATGGCAGAGTTCAGCAGAATGCAGAGGGTTTTAAGCTGTAAGGTCTTAAAAACTAAAACCCACAGATCTACTATTTGGTATCTATATGCTTATTATTATTCTGGTCATGTCACCCTCAATTGTGCCTAAGGTTGTAAAAAATACATGTAACATAACAGATGCCAATAATGACTGAACATTTTGCTTAAGTGTAACCTCTGTGAGGTTCAGTAAAGTTGATTCCTCTTGGATATTTTAAACACTAAGATGTTACAAATCAAAAAGCATCAGTGTTGGAATATTCACTATAATATTTTTAGTAACTTCAATATGGCAATCTACTTACTTGCTCATGGACAGTATTTTCACATATTAACTATGATACAACAATGAAAATGAATGATCCACATACAACTAAATGGAACAATATAGAGGAGCCTCTCCAAGACAGTCATGAAGGAGGGGACACAGACATAAAGGCTTACAAATGCTACCAAAGAGGTAAAACCAATCTATAATGTTTAAAATTCAGGAGACTAGACTCTCCTGAATTAGATGTTATTTCTATCTTGGCAGTTTCCCTCCTATCCCCTAGATAGAGAAGTTTTATTTGCAAAGTGAAAAAGTGAACACAGAAAGAAGAGGGAGTCCCAACAGGAGAGCCAGGAGATGAGCTGCAGCTTGAAAGAAGCGAGGGAGAGACACTCTGCAGGGCATCTTTTGTACCAGTCAAGACAATCTGCTTCCAACACCACAGAATACCTGTTACTGTGATACTTCCTGTTGAAAAAATCTGTAACGTAGCTCGTAGAGACTTTATCCGATAGCACACGGCAGGATGAAGTTCAGGTTCATAACTGTATTTTTAAAAGGACATAATTAATACAAATACTTCCAGCCTGATCAGTCATTTCAAACTTGGCTAACTTCTGATTCTTCAGAGACATACCTGGCATGAGGTCTATTGTTCTTTGTGAATTCTGGCAAACGGATTTCAAACGGCATGTTGCATACTGCCAAAACGTTAACCACCTTAAAATCTGTAAATATTACCTTTAGGAGAGAAGTAAAACCCAATGAATCATTTTGGGGAAAAACAAAACAAAACAAAAAAAGAAACCTGTTTATCATGTACTAAGTTTTGATTCTTAAAAATATGCCCAAAACGTCTTTAATTTTATAATCTAAGGGACTTGCATGGTTAAAACACTACGTGTGGGACCTTCAGAATTTTTAATTCCTTAAGAATGCAAATGGAACACTTAATTAAAACTACCAGGAATAGAAAGAGAATAGTGCAGGGGTTAAAGTAAAGCAGGAATCACCTTCTAAAGTAGATGGGAGGACCTTTATACATTCAGGGGTCATTTGTGTATTTTAACATCACTCATAATCCATACAAAACTATGAACTTAAAAATCAGCCTGCTATATAGATTTATTGACTCTGGAATTCCACCTGTGGAATTCAGGGCCAGATCAAATTTTTTTTGCACTCCTGTCCTAAAGAGCTAGTTGAAACAGTCACTCTAAAATGTCAATAATTACAGACTATGTGCACTGAGTTCCAAATGTCATATATTTTTTCTCATATGCAACAAGAGGACATTTCCCTGAGTTCTAGTAATATGTTTACTTTGTTTCTGAGCATAAGAGTGGGCTGCCTCACTCCCGACTGCAGCTTCTGGGCAGTGCAGACCCTGTGAAGCAGTGGCTCTCACCACGCACCCATGCAGGAGTTCCTAGCTCCTGGGTTGGGCCTCAGAAAGGCCATTTGTACACACCATGGTAGATAACTGGGAGAAAGAAATCTGTCAATGGGAGTTCTTTCTAGTAAACACAGTGTTTCTAACTAACTGGGATTTCTTTCAACCCTTTCATATCATGGTTAAAAAATGTAGCTCCAAGGGTAAAAATAACACCGTCTTAACATTAACAATGTCGGGCCCGGTGGCGTGGCCTAGCAGCTCAAGTCCTCACCTTGAACGTGCCAGGATCCCATATGGGCGCCAGCTCTAATCCTGGCAGCTCCACTTCCCATCCAGCTCCCTGCCTGTGGCCTGGGAAAGCAGTCCAGGACGGCCCAAAGCCTTGGGACCCTGCACCCGCGTGGGATACCCGGAAGAAGTTCCTGGATCCTGGCTTCGGATCGGCATAGCATCAGCCGTTGCGCTCACTTGGGGAGTGAATCATTGGACAGAAGATATTCCTCTCTGTCTCTCCTCCTCTCTGCATATCCGACTTTGTAATAAAAATAAATAAATCTTAAAAAAACAACATTAACAATAATTTTTGTTTCCACCTCACTGTCTTTTCCAACTTATTCCAAAACGACAGCTCTGGTTGATCTAACTATTCTCTGCCTCAGTATTTACACAACAGAGTTGCAGAAAGGCAGAAGGCTAAAGCAGCCCCATCATCAAACCAGTCACCCTTCCAGGCTCTCCCCAGCACTGCCCCCAGGCCTGCCAGCTGCAGTGCCTGCCCACATCTATCTCACAGCAACTCCAGTTAATGACTTAATTCGACTTCCCCTAACAGAAAAGTCTTCTTCCCCAATCAGCCTAGTCCTCTCCTTCACAGACTTTCTCAACTTAATCTGCCATTCACTTATTATCGGCAAGTAACTCAACAAGACCGCACTTAACATGCAACAATTTTATTCAAAGTTACTCTTTACAAACAACATTTGATAAGGGTGACAGGCCAGTGAGAATCCCTTCACATACATGAGAACCCACCATCCAGTGTGTCATATCAATAGGCCCAGATATTGTTAAAAATGATTAATTTGAGGTTTTTTTTAAAAGTATTTATTTTTATTGAAAAGACAGATCTACAGAGAGAAAGATTGTCCATCTGCTAGCTTACTCCCCAAGTGGCCACAATGGCTGGAGCTGAGCAGGTCCAAAGACAGGAGCTAAAAGCCTCCTCCAGCTCTCCTACACCAGCGCAGGGTCCCAAGGCTTTGGGCCACCCTCTACAGCTTTCCCAGGCCACCAACAGGGAGCTGATGTGAAGTGGAGCACCCGGGATAGGTTACTGGTACCCACATAGGATGCTGCACTTGAAGGTGGAGGATTAGCCAGCTGAATCAGGCCCTCCAAAAGCAGTACAATTGTAAGGATAGAAGTATTTATATGGGAAAGGAATTTGAGAAAAATCTAAGATGTTTTACAAATACTTACATGGCCAAATTTTGCTATTAAGTGTTCATACTAAAGAACAATAATAAAAACCTAAGACATATTCAGAGTTCCTGCAGTGATTTCTCAATTTTTAATATACTAATTTTTTTCAACTTTACAAAAATAAACCCTTGAATATTTACAATCTGGATTTAACACATTTATTTTAAAATCACACATAACATCACTGCTTATTTAAGATACAGCACAAGTTTCCAAAACTTGCATCAAAGCATGCAATGATTAGATAAGGGGAACCCGGCCCATTGATTCAGTTACACATTCTGTCTTTGCAAAAGGTAGGATGCCAAAATCCTCTCTGCACAACCAGAAACAACACTTGTCAGTCTTAGAGCTTTCTGGTTGTGCTATAAATACCAGCAGTTATTCCTCTTGTCCAGTAGCACTTGTATACCCATTCACCATCCTCTCTCCAGCCCCGTACCACCTCCATACACACAAATGGGTATTTTTGAAAATGTTACCTGAAAACCTAGTTTCTGCAGACTGCGAGCTAAACGTCTGGCACCAAATTTAGCTTCTTCTTCACTATGGTTTTAAGGAAGTAAAAACAATATAAGTTAGGTGTAACATAAATCTTACATTGAGGAGAATAAACTTTACAAGTGACAGAAAACTGTCCTCTCCATGAAAGGAAAAATAAAAAATTAAAAACCCAAGTGCCATTTACCTTGTTGCTCCAGTGCAAATGATTTTTCCTGAGGACCAAATTGTAGCTGTAATTCTAGGTTTTCTAAGCTTCATTAATACTTTCTGGGGTTAAAAAAAAAAAAAAGAGAGATCTGATTACTTAAGAAGCATTAATTCTGATACATGGTTCTGCTTTATGTGGTCACATTCATTACAAACACTACTCAAACCTCGTCCAAGATGGAAATAATTGTTCTCCAAATCACCCATTCAAAATCAATACTGAACACAAGGAATAGATTAACCTGAAGGGATACCATTTAAAAATTTGAGGGTTATGGAACTCCCACTAAATACCTGGAGTCAACACAGTGTAGGGACAGCAATGCTGCACCTCTTATTCCACTCTAATCATGTAACTGGGATTGACATGGTTTCCCACAGGTGCTAAATCTACCCAAACCTCAGGGCGCTCTGCAGCGGCTGTTCCCTGCAGGACCTGCAGCAGTCTCCTCTCGGTTTTCTCACTTCACAAGTCTCTCCTTACGTGTCACACAACAGCAAAGCCTTCCCTGGCACTCTTGCATCGCCCTCTTAGCTCTGTTGCATTCTGCCTCACGGCTCCCACAGCAGTTACACTACTGAGATGCTTATTACATATTCAAGTGCAGAGTGGCAATTCTGAGTGCAAGAAAATGTGGAAACTGGAAAGGCAGTTTCAGATTCCTTAAATATGAAAGTTATTTAAAGCAAGAATGAAATCACCTACAGCATTAAAATAGGTTGAGAACTGAGTTCTAAAATAACTTCTGAATTTAAATTTTCATTGCAATTTCTCATTTATAGAAATATTTAATATATGCACAATACGTGCAAGAGAAAAAAATTATCAGATAACACATAATGAATCAAGGTATTTTTCAGAAGTTTTTGCTACTTTTTTGAGTTCCTCTGTCATGTCGTATTTTTTAAACTACAAAGCTTAAAGTTTACTACAGACCAAGACAACTTTTGCACTGAAATGTCAAGCATGAGTAGCTGAGAAACACTGACTTGAATCTGTGCATTTGTCACTAGCCACTAACTTGCCATCAGCTCAAAATTTTCAGTTAGCCTTCCTAGAAAAAACCTTCCTTTCTATATGTCAGCTCAAGTATGAAGGCAGGGTTAGGCATTTCCATGTCAAAACATTTTAGCAGATATATTCATTCTGTTTTTTAAAGGGAAAATGGTATTATAATGAACCTGAACATGCTAGCAATTTAATTTGCCAATGTCAGCACCCATAAACATTCTTAATATTTGTACTTGAAGTATTTGTAATAAACATATAAAACATCTGCCTCATCAATCTTTGGTTTATACAGTGTTTATAAAAGGCTTAAGCATTGTTATTTAACATTAATCTTAAAACACTAAGATTTAATATGTATGAATACAGAACTTTTAGATATTACAGGGTTTAATTAAAACTAATTGCCTATATTAAAGTTAGAATCATATTAATGCTATAATTTGAATTTAAAAAGCCATCTGAGGCTAGTGTTGTAGGGTAGCTAATTAGGCTGCTACTTGCAATACTGGTTCTACATATTACAGTCCCAGCTGCTCTGTTTCCAACCCAGCTCCTTGCTAACACACCTAGGAAATCAGTGGAAGATGGCCCACGTGCTTGGGGCCCAGCACCCATGCGGGAGAGCCTGGCTTTGGCCTGGATCAGCCCCTGCAGCTGTGCTCATTTGAAGAGTGAACTAGATAATGGAAAATTTCTGCATCTGAGGTAAACACACAGATCTTACATAAGGGAAAAAAATCCATCTAAAAAAAGAGAATATTGACAAAAAAAGAAATATTCCACAAAAGTTTACAAAAATTGCAATGTTCATGAAAGGTTCCTTCCTTCAGGTTTAAAGGAATTTCTGTAACAATAAAATGCCTCAGTAGTCAATGAGTTCCTTGCTAAGAGGAAGAGACAGGTGCCTAAGTGCTGCCAGCTTCACAAGATGGCGGTCTCTTACACAGGGATCAAAGCTGTTCTCAGCACGACGAGAATATGGCAAGATGCTCATGAACTGCAAAGAATGAGTGTATTTTACACTCATAGCAGCATAAAATCAGGTACATCACAAAATACAGATACTTACTCCAACATCACGCTTATAAATTACATTTGCTCCTTCCAAAGCAATCTTCCTTAAGTTCAAATGGCATCTTGTTCTAAAAACACAGACTACATTTGTAATTAAAATGTCCAATGCAACGTCACTGTCTGCATCCATTGGGGTAGTTTAAAAACTCAGCTTCCCACCACGAAGATCACATCCTGAGAAATAAAGCAAAAAAAAGTCATTCAACTCCAATATTTTGTAAATTTTAACAATTTTAAAAGTAAATTCTAAGAAATGAATTTATATTATTATTTATCTTTGAATGTTTCTAGAACCAAATCTTATCTTTTCTGCTCACTAAAAAGTCATGTTTTAAAAGATAACTTGTTGTTACAACATTCAAAATCTAGATCTAATTTCATTATTTAAATGTACAAGTAACTTACATGCTGGGAATTTGCCAGGCTTTCCAATTACTCGTCCTTGTAACCACTATATTCCAGGTTTTGCCACAGTTAAAAGTGATTCCTCAATATGCCATATTTGAGGGCTGGATTTTGTGGTTCCTCATATCCAACCATTGCCACATATCTCACACAACCTGGTGGGGCTATGCAAAGTTGATTTCACTTTCCACTATTTCAGGTGAAATAACTAATTTACTATCCTTAAAGTGGCAGAAATAGTAATTAGAATGTCTAGCAGGATTTATTTGCTAGCCATTAATTCATTACTCACTGAACACCTTCAAACTGCTAGAGTACTATGAGTTAGGCAAAGTCCTTCATCCCCAAGGAGCTCACCGATGCGTGTAAGGGAGGAGCTGGAATAAGCAGCACAAAACCATCTTATCTTCTACCACGTGGTTTTCAATACTCTTAGGACAAGAGCATTTCTATACACAAGTAAGTGTTTGCTAAGCACGTGACCCATGTTCAGCTAAAAAATTCTCTACTTGGCTTATTTAACTATCTTCTACTTGCAACCCAGCAAATCATTAGCAAAATATAGTTTAATCCTCTGGAGCCATGACATGAAAAGCAAGTACTCTACATAAGGATTTTCGAACTATCACGACCAAGACGAGGATGCCAAGAACCCAGATAAAGCACATTCCCTTCTTCCACCCTCCAGTTTCTTATGGGACACAGCGACACATGACTGACAAGACTCCTAACACCTCTACAGAACCAAACACATTCAAATCTGTAGACCAAAGGGATGTCAAAATTTACTGTGTTTCCTTATTTTCTATCCTCACATTCCCTTTGAGCGGGCATTGCACTATCTTCCTTGTCTGATTATCGTAAGTCACCCTGTGGGGCAGAGGCAGCAGTGCGCAGGGGTGGACAGACTCTGGCCGAGGCAGTGGGTCCCGGCAGCAGGCTCAGGCATCATATACCATTACTAGGTGGGAGAATGCAGGCAGGTCATATATGTGTCCCAGTGTTCTCATCTGAGCATGAAACAGACTCACTAAGGCATACTGCTGTGATAAATAAAACAGTGAGAAAATATCCTTAGCATACATATCTGGGAAATCAAAACTCAAATGATGACAGTGATTACCAATGAAGTTTAAATCAACAGGCATATTAAGATTTTTCTCAGGATCACTTCTTGTGATTTATAATATAATCCAGTTAATGCAATATCTAGATGCCTTTTCCTATAAAAAATAAAATTCTCTAATTGGATAGTTTCTAATCCCAATGTTCATTCTACTCTTTATTCAAATTAAAACTCAGATGTCTAGAAGGGCACACTGTGGTAGAAAAATAGTTTTCACGGTCCAGCCAGGTGGCCAAATGACTATGTTTGGGCCAAGAAACAAAATCCCTTTATCCTCTGGGAAGCCTGTTTCAGAGTGCCAACTTAGCCAGTAAACATTCCTTTGCATTTTTGCCCTGTCTCTTTGTTGCTGCCTGGGAGTGTGAACAGGGAGCTGGAGTTCCAGCAGCCATTTGAGATCAAGCCACACTGAGAAAAGCATGATTCAACAGAAAGAGCTCTCCTGGGTTTCTGACTTTGTCAACATCTGTATTGGCTTTTAATTCCAGACGTTTTAAGTGTGAGAGAATAACCAATCAAATATCCCCTTGGGCAGTTCAGTATCTGATTCAGTTTGTTTTATCCTATTTGATGTAAAAAAAAAAAATAATCTGTCATGCAACTAAAACTGTGCTCTATATAGTTTCTTGGTAAAATATTTTTTTCTTCGTTGACTTTTTAAAAATTTTTTTGTAGTTAGGATTAGACTTGGTTGCATAGAGCCAAAATACAATTTGGCTCAATTTGGTACAAAGGCAGTGCACAGGGTGAAAATAAATGGAGACAGAGCTCCAGTCTGCGAACTCAAACAACTATGACATTAATTTAAGATTGCTGACACTCTCACATGGTAGCAACTTACATTCTAAAAATGAGGTCACAGGGACAGTTTATCTTAAATTTCTAAGGAATTGTATCTTGAAATCTTGAATGAGTAATCTGGCCAGCAGGCTCAGCAAGTATTGCTTCAACATAAAGTTTCAAGACACAATATGAAAAATGGGAATTTTACAAAAATACAGGGATCCTACACAAAAAATCTCAGATAAGTGTGTATCACTGGATGTTCACAAAAATTCGTTTTTTAAAAGATTTATTTACTTTACTGGAAAGAGCTGCAGAGAAAGAGGAATAGAGGGAAAGACAGATCTTACATCTTCCAGTGCACTCCCCAAACGGCCAGAATGGCCAAGGCTTAGCTAGTTCAAAGGTGGGAGATGAGATTCTTCCCGATATCCCATGTGAATTCAGGGGCGCAAGCACTTAAGCCCATCCTCTGCTGCTTTGCCAGGCCATAACAGGGAATTGGATTGGAAACAGAACAGCCAGAACTAGAACCGGGGCCCATATGGATGACCACACTGTAGGGAGGTTAGTGTACTATGCCACTACAGCAGCATCAAAAAATCACTTTTAGGGGCTGGTGCAGTAGCATAGTGGCTACAGTCCTTTCTTTAAGTGTTCCAGCTCCCTGCTTGTGGCCTGGGAAAGTAGTAGAGAACAGTCCAAAGCCTTGGGCACCTGCACCCATGTGGGACACGTGGAACAAGCTCCTGGCTTCGGATCAGCTGAGTTCTGGTCTTTGCAGTCATTCAGGGAGTGAACCAACTGATGGAAGATCTTTCTCTCTGACTCTCCTTCTCTCTGCAAATCTGACTTTGCAATTAAAATTTAAAAATCCTTTTTTAAAAAGAATCACTTTTAAACAGGCTAACTAGAATGACAATCCAGTAAAACACACGTGAAGTATATCCTATCAGGAGCATAACTGGTAACTCATAGACAACAGACTCGAATCAGCATTAGACAATAGCCAAACTACAAAGGCATATGGGGGGACTCAGGAGCGATCCTAACAACCTGTTAACAGGAGCTCATATACACAGAGCAGGGGGAACCCCAGAGTGGAGCAGGCGGACAGGAGGAGGCTTGTATCCCAACCCTGAAGACTCCCAGATCCTAACCAAGGACTATCAGTACGAGCACCAAGGACTACATCCCAACTGCCAAGGAGAACACGGGGAATTGGAGTGCCTTCAGAGGCCAAGAACTCTGAGGTCACCCACCTCCATTTGGATCTACCACATGGGATGGAAAAAGCCCAAATCCTGCCTTGCAGGATCCAAGGTCATCGGAACGACAAACAGGAGCACTGAGCAGTCCGCAGAAACAGAACAGTAAACTTCCTTCGGGACTAGGGAGAGGAGTTTTCTCTGGTCCTTTCTTGCCTGGTTCCCACTTTGGGTCCCCACCCTCTCTCGTAATGACCATCAGGATCACTCCAGAAACCCCTAAAAACAAACAAATAAACAAAAAAACTAGAATAGATAGACAGAGAACAACAAAGAAAGCTTAGAATCAGACAGGAAACAGTCAGCATGGATGCACTTATACCTTACTAGGTGGGGCACAAAGATTAGTTACTCCTTACTAGGGTATTGAAGATTTCTCTGCACACCCCTCCTAAAACTGTTCTGCACTTGAACTGTTGACACATCTCTTGTTAGAATTATAGAGTTAGACTACCCGGAAAACAGCCAGGTTCTGCAAAATCATGCTTCAATGCTATAAACTGCTAAATACTAAAATTAAAGTAGACATGAAGACAGTTGAATACTAATCTGTAGCCATTTTAAGGTGTATAGAACCTGGTAGTATATAAACTAATAATTGAAATGTCAATGTAGAAGTCACAGGATGTGGTTCAGAACTTGCATTCTTTTTTTTTTCTCTTCTAACATATTGATTACTCAATACCATGTTAACTAATTCCATACGTTATAAATTGTTACTGATGTAATGCTGGGGCTTTTAATTGATCGGGATGATACTCTGCTGGCTCTACCTTCAGACCAGAGGTGGTCTCCCCAACAAGCCGTTGAACTTATCTGGACAATAAGATGCTGGACTTTATGCTTGGTAGATGCTTGCAATGAAAGAATCTCAACTGAATTTGAACTGTGGTAATGCAACAAGGGGGAGGAATCCACCATGGGGGTCGGTTTGGGGAGGTGTAAGGGGAATCCCAGTGCCTATAAAACTGTGTCACATAATGCAATGTAATCAATAAAAATAAAATAAAATAAAATAAATAAAAAAGAATATACTTTTAAATAAGCTAACTAGAATGACAATCCAGTAAAACTCACAAATTTTAATTCTACAAAGCATTTGATGATCTATCATATTTCTTTTAGTTTTAAGTACAGTGAAATAATTATCAATGGGTAAAAAATGTCTACATAAGTAAATGGTATCAGTTCATACTATTCCTAAAAATATACAAAGTTGTGGTTAAATTAAAACAACAACAACATAATTGCTGTAGGAAATAAAATAGAAAATAATTGTCACTAGGGAAGAAATTTTCCAAATTGCCAGCAAGTATTATGGTACCTAGAGTTAAATGCCTAGATCATTAACTCCTTACTGAGCCCTAAGCATCTTCAAGTCAGAGACTACGCCATCAAAGATGTACACAGTGAATGTTCGGCTATCATTTGGTGCATGGGTGTTATAAACTCAGTATTTCAGATTCCTCTCTATATTTTTTATCTAGTTACAATTCCAAACTTTTTTTGTTTTGCATTGTTTTTAAAAACATTTGCTTATCTAAAAGAGTTACAGAGCCAGGGAAAGACAAGCACAGAAAGATCTCCCATCC